TCCTGCTTTTGGCAGGGACCGTTCCTTCTCTAAGGCATAAATGCAAGCCCCTGAGGGGGCACGCCCTATGGAGAGAACTCAGAGGGTCCTCCTAGATGCTCTTCTGCTCACTCACGCCACTTCTACTTCATGAATGTGAAGTTCCCATCCAGAAAGGCTATTTCTTATCTACTGCTATTTGGGGGAATAACTGTGTTGAGACACCGTGGAACTTCTGCAGTGTGTTGCATAAGAGTTAACCCTTTTCCCCCTCTCGTCTTTAGCTCTGACTTCTGTTTTCATATACTGTAGCTGCCCGGCAAAGAACACACTGAATGCTCCCAGATTTCTCAGAGGGGTTAAGTCATAACAATCTTGAAGAATTATAATTATCTTTGTTTTTTTTAAGGCTATAGTCTTTCAAAACATTGTGTTCTTGGGCCGGAGAGATGACTCAGTGTGGTTAGGAGCACTTGCTGCTCTTGGTGAGGACTTATGTTCAGTTCCCAACACCCACATGATAGCTTAAAACCGTCCATACCCCCAGCTTCGGGGGATCCAATGTCCTCTTCTGATGTCCTCCAGTACCAGGCACACACGTGGAGCACACCCATATGTGTAGGCAAACATTCGTACACATCACAATAAGATGAATCTAAGAAACTTTAAAAACACTATATTCTTACAAGTGCAAAAAATGTTATCACCGAAAGTTTAGTGTAAAAAATAAAATAACAATTAACTATGCTTCCACCAAGAAATAAAAATCAGAAATATTTTATATCCTCATTTCTCGGTATATCTATAATAATTATAATGCGGTTTTATAAGGTATAAGTCTTTAAAGTTTGATGTGATACTCCCTGATTGAGGGTAACCAGGCAGTCTGACTTTTGTCTCTCAGTTAAAATGCGTAAGTGTTCTTGGAAATGATGCTTGGCGTTTGGCTGTTGCTTCCTCTCATTTGTATTCTAACTAACTCAGGGATGAATCTGGCATGGACCAGCTTCTGTTTTTCTTTAAGATTTTCTTTCAAACTTGTCATCACCCCCTCCACACACACACACATACCCTGCTTAGCCATCATCTCTAAAGACACACAGGAAACTGAACAGCCAACCATGGTTGGTACTAGTCAATCTTTATCAAAACCTTTCCCAGGAACAGATCCTTTGCATCCTAACACAGTCTGACCCATAGGACCCGTGCAACAAGTATTTCTCAATGAATGGTGCCTGCTGCTTGCAATGATCACAACAGCCTTCCCAGCCATAGTTTGAACTAAATGGGTAACAGTGATTCAAAAATATCAAATGGAAACTTCAAGTGGCACATAGTTTTAAGAATGACATGTTGTTATGAGTAATGCAATGGAATTTGTGGTACTTTGTTCTGCTTGGGGACACTGAATGAATCGTTCCATTGGTCAGTAAAGAGAGACAGACTAAGACATACAAATTCTACCTCTGCCCTCCATGGGTACACATATGGGTGTGTCCACATGCATACACCACACACACACACACACACACACACACACACACACACGTATGCACAAACACACACAGCATTAGTTGAACAATAGTAGTAGGGTGACAGAATTGGTTGTGATTGTTGCAATGCTAAAATATTTATTTTATTAAGTTGGGCAGTAGTGGCACATGCTTTTAATCCCAGCACTCAGGAGGTAGAGGCAGGAGGATCTCTGTGAGTTCAAGGCCAGCCTAGTCTACAGAGGGAGTTCCAGGAGAGCCAGGGCTGTTACACAAAGAAACCCTGTCTCAATAAATAAATAAATAAACAATTTTATTAAATTAGGTTCTGTCAGTTGGCTAGAACCTGGAGGTCTTATCAGCTACCATAACAATTAACAGACAAAGAAAAAGAGGAATTTTGCATTTAGAGAATGGGCATGAAAGAATGAAATTGAGAGCTGCAGTGTACCTTAGTGATTGCCAATTCCAGAATCTGAATCTGGGAGCAAGTGGAGAAAAGGGTGAAGAAACATAGCAGAGTAGAAAAGCCGAACACATGAGGGAAATATTGCCTACAGAGACGACGAAAAAGAACAGTGGTAGAGCTTGAGGAAGTGATGTTCACAGCACGTCCTTCATAACGTTTCTATTGGGAACATTTGCTTGGGCATAGCACGATGAGAGTTGGTTTTATGGAGTGGAAACATCTTGGGAGAAGTGCTCTCAGTAGGCTAGAAGTATGAGGTACCCAGTCTCATCTGCAGACAGATGCTGTCACCCACATAGCACGGAGCGAGCCAACAGTTTTTCTGGTTGCTGTTGAGAGGCCCTGGCAAGCTGTGCCCCTAGCCCCATAGCCCTACACCCTCAGGCTTGTCTCTCTTGCCCCCCAGGGAGGGAGAAGGGAGAGAAAATCCCCTCTGCACAGAGGAATTTTTAAAGCCACCTGCGACTCGTAGGCATAACCATCAAGACTGGTTCATCGGAATTCACTCCTGGGGTTTCATTTGTTGATAATCATTGGAGGACATGGGTCACGGGAGGAAGCTTCGGGACAGGGACATGGTTGTCTCGGAAAATGACAACCTGCACTGCTGGAACTTTAAATATAGGTCATGTTCACAGAACAAGAGGAAGAAAAGGGAAGTGCGCGAAAGCTCTAAAGTGCGCTGATATCAAAGGAAGACAGTGATGGACTGACAGGATTTTCTTGCAATTTGACAGACGTTGTATGCTTAGGTAGCAGTGGGATGCACCACAGCAAACAGATGAACCGGGACTAGCCAAGATCCTAGGTAGGGCTTCCTGGGGGAGCCAAAGGCACACTCTGGGTGTGAGATTTGGTGGTTAAATGCAGGCGCAATACTATCAATCACAGATGAACGCATCCACGTTATGGCAGCCTAAATGGACAAAGCGTCTAGGATGTTATGGGCACACATAGCAAGTAGGGCCAATATTCCTCCCTTTTCTCCTTGTTTACAAACTAGGGCTAAATAGATCTCAGTGACAGCTAGGAAAGGCAGCTACGGAAACAACCAGCCACAAGAAAGCCAACTGCAAGCCAAAGGTTTCTAGCCTGAGAATCCGAAAACCAAAAGGATCCAGAACTCTAAAATTTTTTGAGCTCTGATGTAATGTCGCAAGTGCACAACTCCGTACCTGACCTCATGTGATAGGTCATAGCCAAAATGCAAGTGCAGTAAATATGTAAATAAAAATATAAAATTACCTTCAAGCTATGAGTTTATATAGAAGAAATATAAGTGGGTTTTGTTAGTTGGCCATTTTTGCCAAAATACATTATCCTGTATATACAATTCTTTTTCAATCCAAACTTCAGCTGGAGGGTGATGATGTACATTTAATCCCAGCACTTGGGAGGCAGAGGCAGAGGGATCTCTGAGTTCAAAGCCAGCCTGGTCTACAGAGTGAGTTCCAGGACAGCCAGAACTACATAGTGAGACCCTGTCACTTTCCATTGAGTGCGGGATTAAAAAGGGCTACAAAGAAAAATCCTATCTTAAAAAACCAAAACCAACCAACCAACAAACAAATCCAAAGTCCAAGTTTTTTGTTTTGTTGTTTTGCTTTGTTTTGTTTTATTTTATTTTGTTTGTTTTTTTCGAGACAAGGTTTCTCTGCAGCTTTTGGAGCCTGTCCGGGAACTCATTTGTTAGACCAGACTGGCCTCGAACTCACAGAGATCCGCCTGCCTCTTCCTCCCTATTGCTGGGATTAAAAGCATGTGTCATCACCGCCAGGCTCAAGTTCAAGTATTTCAAGTCAGGAACACTCACTGTGTGGCGATGTTTCAGCTGCCACTGCCTTCCACAGTCCACATGGATGTCAGAGTACAGCGTGTGAGAATCTTATCTGTCTGTCCACCATGATCTCGGGGACTGAACCCAGGTTGACAACAAGCCCCTTTTCCCCAGAGCCACATCTCTGGAACCGATAGTTACCCTTCCGATGTATGCTAAACTGAGAATGTCATCAAACACTTTAGGTGAGGGGCTCGACAGGTGTCCTCTAAAATCAGTAGGGTGTGTACTACACCTCAGGGAAAGTGTGGCCTGGGCGCGCAGGCTCTATGGTACACTCAGCAATGCTCTCAGTCGTCAGTAGCATCGAGGAGAAAGAAAGACGTGTGAAGACATGTGCAGACTTGGGCAGAAGCAACAATTACACAGAGGGAATCTTAAAATACTTTTAGCAATGAGCTTCAGCCGGACAAAATTCAATATTGTCTTTTTAAGGGGTATTAGAAGCACAACACTTTTACAAATGCCCAGAAGCGAGTGTTAGAAAGGAGATGCCATTACATTGTGACATAAAATTCTTTCCTCTGCTCCTGCCTTGGTGCTAGTACGTGCCATAAATCCTCACAACTTTTAAGGTTTTCATTTGTGACTTTCCAGGTCTTCTTTCCAATGTTAAAAACTCTTAATGAAAGGACTATTTTACCCAGACACACAAAGGAGTTTAATTTTTAAGTCATGCTTTCCTTTTAACAAAAATCTTTCCCATACCCAGAATTTCTGTCACTTCTATCCGAGTGTGCAGAGTGCCTTCCATCTAGCTGTGCCCTGGCAAAATTACTGACTCCATCATACAAGCGGCACCTTCTAGAATGACTTCCTTAGGGTGTCGAACCCCATTTCAAATAAGCAATCTCAACAATCTTCTAATGCCTTCATCAACCACTGGTCTACTGAGAAATAAGGTTAGCTGTTCACTAGCAGGTCTGGCGAGTTTTGTGACAGTCCATTGTTATTAATCCTTTCATTTTAAAAAGGGTTCATTGTTCGTGGGGCGGCCCCCCCGACAGCGGGGGCTTACCATTGCAGGTAGCCCTCTCTTCCCCCTCCCTCCTTCTAGAAGCGCAAGTGTTTCTTAGAGCTTCAGAGTTACTTAAATGCGGTGGAGACTAGGAGGTGGAGCCGGCTGGGTCTCCCGCAGTTCCCTCTGAGGAAAAACTGCCGCCTCCGATCTGCATCTGCATCCGCATCTCCTGCAGGTTCTCATTAGAAGGCTGGTACTCACTTTTATCCCAGAAGAAGTTAAGAAACACTCAAGACCCGCAGTGTGACTCTGACAATCGTTAATTCCGGCACAGCCTTCCTGGAAACACAGCGATTCTCCTCAACAGCTTTGGTTTCAGGAAGTGGGAATGTGAAAGGAAAAGCCCTTGCCCGCTTTGAACCTGCTTGTGTAACCCCATCACAGGACACGCCCCTTTGGCGGCTGCGGCCGGGAAAGCTATGCCGGGAACTGTGCTACCGAGACTGGCACCTTCTGCCAGAAAAACCCCAGCTTCTTTCTCCAGTGCAAATAAACATGCTAACACTCGTGCCTCTGTGACACCTAGTTCTCTGCGCTCTGAGACCGATCACAGAAATGAGACTATGAGGGCGTGCCTTTTGATGACGTCAACACAGTGGCATCATTCATGATATTTCATTGGCGGTCTCTTCTTTCACTCTGTTCTGCCCTCGTCCAAATAAGGAGTTTTCCTGCAGTTTCACCAGAGAAGGAATTTGTCTGCCGACTGGTTTGTCCTTCAATGAAGCCAATGAGTCATGAATTTGCGACTCAGGTTTTGACAAAAGCATATCAAAAATGCATGAGAAGATGATAAAAAGTTTATCAAAATTATATTTTATTGAAAAAGATTAAGAGGTCAGCAATATTTTAACTTTCCCAAAAAGGTCTGAGCCTGCTTTGGTGAAAAGGTCTAGCGTGAATAAAGAATGGGTTCTATTGATAACAACATGCTGTGTTTGGGTAAAGCGTTTGACACGCAACCCCCAAAATGAGAATGTGAATGGATCCATACCTGGGCAACAAACGCTATGGCCAGTTGGATAGATTCCAACTCTTCTACCTAAAAAGTAGAAGGAAAGAATCAAATAGTCAAAAGTTAGGTTGCCTAAAAACAATCTTATGATAGACAATAATTCTTCATATATGACTTTAGAAGTGGTTTAAGCTGCCAGGCAATGGTGATGCACACTTTTAATTCCAATACTCCTGAGGCAGAGTTTGGGGGATTTCTGTGAGTTCAAGGCCAGTCTGGTCTTATATGATGAGTTCCAGGAGAACCAAGGCTGTGTAATGAGACACTGTCTTGAAAAAGAAAAAGTAGACAAACAGAAAAAGAACTTGCTCAAGCCAAGTACATAGAATTGCTATAACAAAACTTTCTATTTATTTATTTATTTAAACTGACTGAGTTTCCTATTTTATGCATGTACTTTCATGAAATGTTGCCTTATTGTAACCATATGTAATGTGTCTCTATTAATTAATTTTTAAATGCCATAAATCTCATTGAGAAATATACTCTTAAATAGTACTCTATTATTTAATATTCATCAAGTATATAACTTTGTATTTGTTTTTTAAATCAATTATAAATCAAAAATACAGTTTTGTAAGTATTGCAAATATATATGTCTTAAATTGTTTATTCCACAGTGTTTGTATCAAAGAAGAGACATAATTTTAATATAGATATTTTCATTGTATATGAATAATGAAAACTTAAAGGTATACAGTTTTCTATTACAAGAAAAATCTATGAAGGAAATGAAACGGAAATAGAAACTTAGAGAGATCAAAGAATAAAAGAAACATTTTCCAATCATTGCTTTTCCAATGACTTCATGTCTTTGTAGAGAGAGGTTAGGAAGATCCAAATCATTTGACATATAATTTTGTTTGGCCTTTAAAAGAATCTGCAAGGGCCTGGTGGCACACACCTTTAATTTCAGGACTGACTGGAGAGTATCTGAGAGTTCAAGGCCGGCCTGATGTCCTGGTGTAGAGAGGGAATCCCAGGCCAATGAGGGCTGCACGGGGAGACCCTGTCTTGAGAAGAGAGGGGAAAATAGAAGAAGACTACGTAGAGCTTTGTTTAGGAAAACCACACAGACATCTATTGCAGTTATTAAAAGATGACCATCAACTTCAGTATTTGTTACTTTTTCATAGAACCCTGTTTGAAGACTGGTGTGGGAGAATTGTCTGTATTCTGTCAATCATATTTTAATAAAACACTGATTGGCCAGGCAGGCAATATAGGCGGGAAAGCCAGACAGGAAGTAGGGGTGGAGCAAAGAGACTGGGAGTATTCTGGGACACAGGAAGCTCTCTCGCCACTCCTGCGCAGACCACTGAAGAGGCAGCATGTGACTTGCCCAGCTGAGAAAGGTACGGAGCCATGTGCTAACATAGATAATGATAATGGATTAATGTAAGTTACAAGGACTAATAAGGAGCCTGATCTGATGGGCCAATCAGTTTATAACCTTATGGAGTCCTGTGTGTAATTTCTCTTTGGGATTTGCCGGCTGTTGGGGTACCGGGCGGGACGGAAATCCCAACAAGCCGGCCCTCATGCTACAAAAGACAGGTGAGTTCTAAAAACTGTCAAGAATTATTTGAGAAGGAGTGAAATTTCAGTGCCTAAAAGAAGGCAATGAACACATGGAACCATGGGAAGATGCTGACAGGGAGAAGAAGCCAGTGGTTGAATCATTTGTCTTTATAGAGTTTGGACAAAGGCCACATCTATCTCTGATAAGGATTCCTGGCAAAATTCTCAGAGCCATAGAAAGATGAGATGTGATGTCCTATTTTTAATCACAGTGTTGAGTTCCAGAAAGCTTTCCAAGATAACAGTTTCAAGTAGAAATCTAAAAGCCAAAGCCTCATTTTCTGTAAGTATCTGAGGTATACACTATAAAGGAAGTACATTATAATATATTTAGAAAAACTGGATACCCCACCATACTCATCTAGGTCTTATAATTTTGAATATAAAATGCTGAAGCAAACTGATGTCACTCATTCATTTGTATAGCATGATAGAAGTGTCAGGTTTGTGCCAAGTGCTGCCTTGGAGTTGGGGTGCTGACAGTGCACACAAGCAATTGCCCTCAAGGACCCATGGTGACAGGTGAGTAGAGAAGGCTAGGCCTGAGAATTAGCTGGGTTTATGGGCAGGAGTTAGCATACACAATTAGTGCCTTGTGCTTCATCATCATTAGTATGCACTTTTGTCTCGAAAACACTGGCAAATCTTGGAAGACCTTCAGGTTTATTGTCATAAACAAATAAATTTTAGAAATAAAACTTTGAGTAGGAAGACTGGATTGTGGGATATGGCAGGAATCAAGAAGCAAGAATTCTAAAGCTATTGTGATAGTCTAGACATAACTGAGGGCTGGGTTCAGTTTAACCTTGATAATGGAAGGAATAATCAGGCTTGGGAAGACAAGACTTAGAGGTAATTAAAAAGAACCAGCATTAGAAATGAGCCAGGAGATGGACAGGAGAGACAGACACTCGGTCATATAAAGATGATACTAGGAAGTAGATGGCTGTTCTTTCTCCTCCTCCAACTCTTTGTTCTGAAAATTAAACCCAGTGCGTGACACAATCACCAGACTCGAAACCAGGATTTATGGAGAAAAAGAGGAATTTGATCTACAAAGGAGTTGGGAAGAAAATGTCCAAAATGGCAGTAAAGAAAAAACAAAATTATGTACCGCAAATCAGGCAAAACCAGCGACATGATATGTAGCTCCTCTTAAAAGTGATTTGGTTGAGGATTTCAACAAGGTGACATCAGACGCAATCAGAGTCATGCACTCGATACTAGACCTGGCTGAAGGCTGGGTAGCCAGGAAAGGCGATGGCAGACATACTCCTGGAGAAGAAGTTGAGAGTTCTTACCTGGATCAGCAGGCAGCAGAAAGAAAGAGACATTGGGACTGACTTGGGCTTCTAAAACCTCAAAGCCCACCCCTAGTGATACACTTCTTCCAACAAGGCCACCCTCCCTATCCTTCTGAAATAGTGCCACTCCCTGATGGCCAAGCATTCAAACATATGAGCCCAGGTAGATCACTCTTATTCCCACCACCACATTCCACTCCCTAGAGGCCTGTAGTCACATCATAATGCAAAAAGTGCATTCAGTCCAACTTCAAAAAAGTCCCTGTAATCTATAGTGGTCTCGCACTGTTTAAAAGTACTAACCCCTTGTATAATCAGAATGAAAAAGCAGACCACATACTTCTAATATGCAATGGCACGGGACATACATTACCATCCCAAAAGCAGGGAAAAGAAGCATAATGAGGAAATACTGGACTAAAACAAGACCAAAACCAGCAGGACAACTCCGAACTCTGCATCGCCATGTTTGATGTTAAAGCGCTCTTTAGGTCTCCAACTCTTTTCTACTTTGTTGACTGCCACGTACCTCTCTCTCTCTCTCTCTCTCTCTCTCTCTCTCTCTCTCTCTATCTCTATCTCTATCTCTCTCTCTCTCTCTCACTGGTTCTACCCTGGGTCTGCAGCTCTCTTTGGCAGATATCTCATAATTCTGGCATCCCCAACATCTTGTTGTCTCCAGCACAATCCAGGCTTCACCTTCACAGCTTCACACAATGGCATCTCCAGGCTTCCACTCAGGGACACCACAACACACATCTAGCCTCAGCGGTTTTCCTTAGCCACAGAGGGCAATTTCACAACCCCTTTCTCATATTCTCGACTCCAAGAACAGAACCACCTGGCTAATGTTACCAAGAAGTTAAGGATAATTAGGAATTCTATGGAACCTATATCATGGGGGTTGGCAGTGAGGATGGGCAGACTGTTGCAGTGAGACATTAACTGACGAGCCTTGACAAAATGTTATTTAATTTTAAAATAGAAATAGAATTTGTATATTTCAAATTGTTGAAGGAGTGATAGAAATTTGCTGGGTTGTGGACTTTTAATGTTATTTTCAAACTAAATACTAAGTCACATTATGACAGAACACCCCTTCCTGTTGTATTAAGAACTTATATGATACTGCTTACTTTGGTTTTTGCTTAGTATATGATTCAGGCCTGGCTCTTGGAGTAGCCACTTCCCTAAAGAGCTCAGCTCAGTTTCAGTGTGCTTCCTATGAACCCCGCGTCACTCAATGCTTTTGGCTCAGTCAAGGGAGGCTAACTAAGTGTACAAGTCGGCTGAGGCCTTCAGTAAGGTCTCAAGAAAGGAGTTTAGTCTCTGATGTCGAAGACACTGGCAGCCACGAGCTCTCTGAATATCAGAAGTCTCACTCCTTGAGGCCAACTTGAAAAAAATATGAGTTTGTGGGACGAAGGGAGGAGAGGGCTCGGCCGTTAAAAACTAGGCTCACAAGGGCCCCAAAGAAGTGTTTGCTCACGTGACAACCACAGTAAAGCAAAGGGAAATTTTTTGCTTCCTTTTCAAAAAGGAAACCACAGAACTGTGGGCATGGTGGTGCACACCTGTAATCCTAGCACTGAGGAGAGACAATGGCAGGTAAAGCATGAATCTGGGGCCAAGCTGGGCTGTACAGGGAGACCCTTCATTCCCTTTAAGGGAGCAGTAGAAGAAGAAAAAGTGGAGGAGGTGAGAAAGAAGGAGGAGAAAGAGGTGAAGAAGCAAAGAAGAGGAAGAAGAAATAAAACATGAGTTCCAGCAGTCATGTTCTTAGCAGATTAAAAAAAATGTATTTTTGAGAACTTCATGCAATATGCTGTGACCACACTCTTTCTGCTCTTCCTTCTCAGCAGACACAGTGGGCTGCGCATGTCTCCAAGCTGACTAACACGACTCTGCTTAAGATTTAACTTTGAGCCAGTCGGGGGTGGTGGTGGTGGTGCATGTCTTTCATCCCAGAATTTGGGGTGCAGAGACAGGCAGATCTCCATGAGTTCGAGGCTAGCCTGGTCTACAGAGCGAGTGCCAGGACAGGCCCAAAAGGTACAGAGAAATTGTGTCTCAAAAACAAAACAAAACCAGAAAAAAAAACCCAAAAAACTTTGAATAAAGATGAAGCAAAATCTGAAGCAACTTTCTGAAATAATCTCATTTAAAAACTGCTTTTAATGGTCTTATATGAAGGAACAGCAATAAGGCACAATTAGAAGAGACATTCAGGGAATGAGTGATTTGAGGTCACTTATTTTGTGTGCGTCCTCTGGGAATCTTCAGGAGACTCAACAAACTGAAATCACAGAAACAAGTGAGCACATTCCTTTCGGGCCCTTGTCTGAGTCAAGGTTTTCGACTCCTTTTGGGCCTTCGGTCACTTGTCAAGAAGCCTGGGAGGGCCAAGATTACTGGAATGACCATATTGTAGCTGTCTGGAAGGTGATAAGCACAGGCCAGGAACTGCAGGTACAGCCGACTGTCCCTCAGGCCCCGAGGCAACAGAAGCTCCAAGGTGCACATGCTTCTTGTTGCCCAGTTTTCAGTTCTGAGATCCTTTATTTTTGACCAGTTGTCAGAGGCACACAATTGTGACCGAAGTTAGATTCTCATTTCAAACTACTTGCTTATTTAAAGTCCCATTCTGGATCAACCAAGCCAGTCAATTCAGAGAAACTAAGAGAACGTTCGCTCTCTAGTATCCTGCATTTTCACCTGCATTTTCCTTATTAGTGCTAATAGCCCCTATTTCTATATTAATGGAATTAAGCAAAGGTTTCCACACTTGTGTACAATGCACTTTGACCTAATTCACTGACTTACTACTCTTATTTTTACGAATACTCTTACTCTACTTATTTTTCCCCTACATTTTCTTTGACTTAACCTTAAAGATTAAGGAGTTTTGTGTAACGAGTAGGCCCATAACGCCCGCACTCAGGAAAGCTGAGACATGAGGATCTTGAGTTGGAAGCTAGCCTGAGCTACATGGCAAAGCTGTGTCTAAAAAATAAAACCAGTATCAACAAAAAGGTTAGAGCAGAAACCCCAATTTTTGCATTATTTTACGCATGAGTTTATTCGGCACAATCAAATTGGCAATGTCTTATCTTTCACCTGCTTTGATGCTGCCCGACTGAAGGAAGATACTACGGTTGTCTCTTCTTCCAAGTAGAAATAATAAATGTTGATCATTAACAAATGAAATCACAGCCTTTACCGGAATCTGCTTTATTTAAAAGCAGACTTCCTGGTCCACCTTTGGGTTCCCAACTGAAATTGAAAAAAAAAAAAAAAAGCCCTCCTGGTAAACTGCCAACAAAGCAGAAACCACAAGAGTCCTCATCATTTTAATTGCCAAAGAAAAAGACAGACAAATATATACATCCGCTGAAATTAAGGACAGAGTCCAGACAAATAATGGCTTCAGAATAATAAATGACGATAAGAATTGGTACGTGGGTTCCCAAGCCCGGAAGACGGTTGTACATCCTCTACTACATCTTCAGTCGCTCCTGTTCTCCTGTTCTTCATTTCTTTTCTCCCTATATAGAATTCCACTCCCATCCATCTCCACTCTCGCCTTCTGTTTTCCAATTCCAATCTCCTTGAACTTCGGAAATCAGTGTTCGAGTATTCACTGTGCTCTGAAGGACCCCCACGAGGTTGCTCCCCCCGCCCCCCCCACCATCCAGGACTGTGTTGGGCGAAGAAGGGACGGTCAACTGGAGTGACAGGTGAGGAAGCGTCTGGACTGCTGTGTGTACAGGGTGGCAACATCCGGAGTCAGATTCCAACTCCGTCTCTGCTGGGTCTGGACTCTTTTCTACTCCCCTCGCCGCGCCCCGGGTTCAGCATCTTCAGAGAGTAGTCACGGTCCCCATCCCGGAGAGCAGGCACGCATCCTCAACTATTCCTTCAACTCCCTGCCGGTTTACCACCCCACGGCCGCCCTTCGCCTGGAAGGGTCCCAGTTCCCTTCTTGATAAAGCCTAACTCCCGGGTCACATGTAGTCTAGAGCAGCCTCTCCTTGGAGAAGGCGCGGTCAGCCCGGGTTCCCGGCTCCCCAAACCGGGTCAGGAGACTTCAGAGGGCAGGGCTTCCTGTGAGAAAGGGCCGGGAGGACGGTGGTGACCTCCTGGCTGGCTCTGTGGGCTTCCTGCCCGGCGAGGACTTTGCGAAGTCACCCGCGCGAGGCCGCTCCTGGCGCGCGCGTGGGAGGTTCCGTGGCGCCGGAGGATCGGCGACTGGCGGGTTCGGCGAGCTCGCACTGCAGTGGCAGGGACGGTCCCCCCACGAGGCCACGTCCTGCCATTTTCATCAGAGGCTCAGGAAGGCTCACGAATCCTCAAGTTCTCAGGTACCTGTAGGTCAGCAGTCTGGGGTAAGGGTGAGCATTGCCACTTTCTTTTTCTTTCTTTCTTCTTTCTTTTTTTCCCCCTCCAAGAGGGCAGCTTTGTCAAAAAGTTTTCAGGGTGTCATCGTCTGCCGCCCGTCCATGGCTTTATTTACAGGCAGACATGTACTACATAACAAGGAAAAGTTTAAAAAAAATACATAGACAGCTCGATCCCAGGTGTAGAAATTTAGTATGTGATCTTTATAAAATAAGGGAGGAACGAACAATACTGGGAGGGCGGTGTGTGTGTCTTTGTTCTCTCTTGTTCTTTGTAAACTTTTCACCTAATCGGAAACCAGAAAAAGAATGCCCTTTGTGCATTCTGGCTCACGGGAACCAACGTCCTGGTTCCCCGCCGCCTAGCGCTGTCATTGAACTAGGGAAACGTTCCCGCCTGCACAAGGCTCCCCTGAGAGGCGGTCCGGGGTGCACAGGGTTAGCCCAGACCCACCTCCCAGCTGCAACCAGATTACAGAAAAGCCAGCTGTCGTCCTGGTCGGGGATTTTCCCGGGCTTTCGGCTCAGAAAGAACTTCCGGGTGCTGGAGGGGGAGGGGTGATCCGCAGGGGATCTGCAGCCTCGGAAGGGGCGTGAAGGGGAGTCGGATGGGTGTAGAAACTGGCAGGTGGACAGAGGGAGACAGGGACTCGCGGTCACTGGAAAGCGCCGTGCTCGCCTCACGCTCTCCACTCTTGGTGGGGGCTTGCTTTTGCTTTTCCTCACTCCCCCTACAAGATTGGGAACAAAAAAGGCTGCTGATTCTGCAGAGTAGGCCTTCTTTGGAATAAAATTAACGGACAGAAGTCTCTAAACCACCCCGCGGGGCCGTGGCAACTGAAGGAGTTGGGCAAGAGGACCGTTTTGCCTTTTGTTTCTTCTAAGTTTCTCTTCCCTTTCTACCATCTCAGTTTTGGGTGTTTGTCAGGGAGAACAGCTTTTGCTAAAAATAGAAATGTCCATCTTGAAATCATACTCTGTCTTAGAAGCTAAGAACTGGAGCAGAGGGAGGTGAAGGTAAATGTTTTAGAGGGGTAAATTTTCCTAGCTCGTCATTCAGAGGAGAAACTTCTCTTTACAGCCAGCACAATTTTAAACAAAACAAAACAAATTCTCCAAAATGTGAGAAACCTTAATCCGCACGTGACCTCCCAGGGGAGCCGAGCAAACTTTCTGTTAAACTGTTTGTCCTCCTGGCTCATTTTAGAAAAACATCGCTCTCCATCTTCTTATTTGTGGCATTTGAAACCAATTATCAGTCTCCAGCAAAAGCGGAGCCGGGTAGCCCTTCACTGGTTTTACCGGACCCAGGAGTCAGAGAGGAGGTGCTGTGTGTGTAGTTGGGGTGGCGATGCTACTTTGCACCTAACACACCTACACGTATCATTCTTCTTTTCCTCCCTCAGGAGAAAAGACAAGGCTCTGGAGTCCTGATCTAGCTAACTGCAGTCACTGGAAGGCTCTCAGGTGAGTGTGTGCCTCTTGGGATCCAGCATGCAAAAGGTTGGCCCTGAGTCTGGAGCACAGGGCCTTTGGCTCACGCCTGTTGGCAGAACCCGCCTTTTATTTCATGTCCCTCTTTGTTATAGAATAGTTTCTTTGTTAACAGAGTTTGCTGTTGGCCAGATGTTAGTGTTTTACAAGTTAGTGATGTCAGACAGCAGTAACAGACAGGGCAATGCACACGTTGCCGATGAGACTTTACTCTCTCTAATTCTACTTTATTCCACAAAGAGAAGACGACTTGTGGTTTTGGTAAAGAAAAATATTGTTAGCTATTTGAATAAATCGTAGTGTACGTGGTATCAGATTCCGAAGATGCAGAGTGTGAGGTGAGAAGGGTCTCTCTGGTTGGCCCTTGGTTTGCCTTGCCTGAGACAACACAGTTACCCTGTATAGCCTGATGTCCTTCTGTGTATTTGGTAATTGAAAACTTGCATAGTTCAAAACGTCTTCTTCTTCTTCTTCTTCTTCTTCTTCTTCTTCTTCTTCTTCTTCTTCTTCTTCTTCTTCTTCTTCTTCTTCTTCTTTTTTTGGAACCTACTGCTACCACTCTTAAATTTGCTATTCTAGCTACTCATTTCTGTCTTCCTACTGAATACTGACGTGCTAGAGATTGGGAAGATCAAGCTGCTTTGGAGAGGGACCTTGTGTCTCTGGAAAGTAGCAGGTTCGTTAGCTCATTGGCCTTTGTGTCTCCCCAAGCAACCTACTCAGCTGCCAGGGAATGGTAGGCCTGTGCTTGCGATCTCATATGCAGGAGTCAGGATGATTGGCATTCGTGGGAAGTTGATGCTTTGGACTGCGTCGTTCTGTGAGGCAGCGCCAGCAGCTCTTCCCCCCTTCACAGTGGTGTCTAAGTTGGTATCTTGCTGGCAACAGCACACATACTTCTGAACCCCCCTTCTCTTAGCTTCCTTAGTTTCCAAAGTATAACTGTTAACCCTGGAAGGGAGGCGGTCTGTGTGCGTGTGTGTTGGGGAGGCGGGGGGACTAAGAGACAGTGCGTTAGAGTTTGCATCTGGGTTTTAACTCCTTATTTTAGACTGGAACCCATTCTTTAAAATCTCCATAACTCCATCTCCCTCACCTGTCAAAGGACAATCCATAGGACTCTTGAATATAAGCGAAGATGGTAGAGCACAGGACTCAGCACCCTGCCTAGCATGTGAGAGGCACATCATAACTAGACATCCTCTGTTAGTTTGTCATCATTTCAGCACCCCGAGACAGGTGACTGCATTTTTCATCTTAGGCCACCCTAGGAGGCAGCAGCAAAGAGCCTCGAGAATCCCAGGAAAATGAATCTCTTGCCCATATGATAGTTATATGCCTTATGTGTTCATCTTTGGCCCTGCTCACTGCACTCAGTGTGAACTACTTCTTTAGGGGGCTGCTGACGTTGTGGCAGGACATGAAGGAAGGCAAACTACACGGCGATGGCTTTTAAAGCATCTTGGTGATGGTGCACACCTTTAACCCCAGGACTCTGAAGGCAGAGGCTGGGGCAATCGCCAGCCTGATCTACAGAGTGAGTTCCAGTACAGCCAGGGCTACACAGAGAAACCCTGTCTTGGAGGGGAAAAAAACTGCCAGGAAGTAAGCTTCTACACAGCTTCCACAAGTTTGTGTTTGTGTTGATGTCATTGTTAAGTGTTTCTACTTGTGTTGGTCATTGCTAAGGGGCCAGCAGTCTCCAGTAGGGGCGCCTTCTCTAAAGGACCAACCAGGAACAATAGAGAACAAAGGACAGTAAGCCCTCTACCTTGGTGTTTGCTGGAAGGAATCACAATTGAGGACTCAGAGGTCCATCAAACCCTAAGAATGCATTCACACCAAGACTATTGTGGGCCCCTGACTTAAAGAGTATTCCAGTTTTCCCCTTACGGTGAGGGCTGTGTCTGTCTGCCCTGGGTCCTGGGGCTGAGAGTCTATTTGCACCAGACGCTTTTTGGCAAATGGATCCATTCAAAAGACAGAACGCGTTATTTAAAACATACAAAACAATATGTAGCTGTCAACAAACACATTATATTTGGGAAACTACTGTTTGTTTGTTTGTTTGTTTTTTTTAACATAGTTCTTTTATAACCACCAAAGCCCGCAGATGGGCTGGAGCTGAACCATTCCCTGGACAAAGTAAAGATAGTTTCTGCTCTTCTTTTTTTTCCTTAACTCCTTGCTTCTTATCAGAAGACCCTGTGTGTGTGTGTGTGTGTGTGTGTGTGTTTGTGTGTGTGCATGTGTGTGTGTAGTGTGTGTGTGATATGTGTTGTACGCACTGGTATCTGCATGCCTGTGAAGGCCAGAAGCTAAGGTCAGGTGTTACTCCTCAGGCATCTCCTGCCTTCTCTGAGACAAGGCCTCTCACTGGCCTACACTTTGTGCAAAGTAGGCTAGGCTTAGCTGGCCAGTGAGCTCCAGGAGCTGCCTGCTGCTGCCCCCTCTCTTACCAACACTGGGATGACATGTATGTGGGACACGCTCCTGGGTTTTTATGGGAGTCCAGGAGATCTAGGCGCGCTCCTCACATTGGCGAGGCAAGTGCTTCACCAGCCGAGTCCTTCATTTTATTTTGGTGTTTTAACTTGCAAGTGTAATGCAGTTTTACTGCAGAAAAATTTTAAGCGAACAGGGAATATAGGTGGAAATTCGATATCACCCAAGATTCACAACAATGAATTTTTTTATCAATTGCTAATTACATCATTGCATAACTTAGTGTCATTATTCTCATGCATGCTGTCTGCTTCCCGAATAATGAGACCTTATTATCATAATGGAGAATAGTCAAAAGATATCGTGAAGTGGTTTAATCAGTTCTTCCCATTGCATGCTAGCTAATTCTTGCCTGCTTTAGTTTTAATTACTTTTATATCCTTGGCCCAAGATTTTGAGGATTCCTCTCACTGCTTCTGTTTTTTCATTTACACAAGGATCTTTGTAACTTTGTTACAAAGTTCTGTATGCTGCAACAATGTCTAAGAGATATGAATATAAAACAAAAGATTAATTTATAAGTTTACAAAAGACATTTTGCTTGGCTGTCGTTTATGGAATAAATGCACAGAGCTTGATTTTTAGCAGCCTGACTTTGTAAAACAGAGAAGAATAATGTCTTCAAAGCAGACGACAGCACTGGGAATGATGGGAACGTAGGGAGGGGCTACGTACTGAGACCCGGACTTAGATGTGTTCCCTTGCCGTGATGCAACACCATGACCAAGGCTTTCAGTTAGAAGAGTTTATTTGGGAATTACAGTTAGAGTTAGAGTCTGTGACCTTCATCGTGAGGACCATGGCAGCTACCAGGCAGGCTTGGTACTACAATAGTAGTCTGAGAAGTTACAATGAAACACAAACACCAGGCAGAGAGAATTAACTCCGAATGATGTGAATCTTCGAAACCCCAAAGGCCACCATCTCTATGCCTCCTCTAACAAGGCCACGCCTCCTAATCAGTTCTAAACAGTTCCACCTAATGGGGACCAAATACTGTCATTTATGAGTCTATCAGTCTATGGGGCCATTCTCATTCAAATCACCACAGACCCTCTCAAGAAAAACAACACAACAAAAGGCAAAGATCAAAGGATAGTGAAAGTAGTTTTTAAAACAGCATTGTTTTGATACCAAGATAGTAGTTTAATACTAACTGATTAGCCAGGCAGTGGTGGCACATGCCTTTAATCCCAGCACTTGGAAGGCAGAGGCAGACAGATTTCTGTGTGTTTGAGGCCTGCCTTGTCTACAGAGTGAGTTCCAGGACAGGTTCCAAAGCTACAGAGAAACCCTGTCTCAAAAAAAATAATAACAACAAAACAAAGCAAAAAAAATATTGATTTTTGCTTTGTTATAAACAAGACCAGAACAACTATAAATTTCACTTAATTATAAAATCTTATTGATGGGGATTGGAGAAAAGGCTCAGTGGTTAAGAGCACTGGTTGGTCTTCCAGAGGACCCCGTTTAATTCCCAGCATCCACATGGCAACTTACAACTGTCTATAACTCCATTTCCAGGGAATCTGATACCTTCACATAAACATCTGCAGGCAAAACACCAATGCACATAAAATAAAAATAGGTAAAATGTAAAAACCACATTGAAGACTATTGCTTCCTAGGCCCTAACTCAGCACAAGCAGATAAAAACCAACCACACGGACAAGTGAGAGTCATTCAGAGGTCACAGTGAACACTTAGCAACTATTGACAGTTGTGCCGTCAGCACACTTGGTAGAAGTTGTGTGGCTATGGTAAAAAAGTCACCCATAGGCATGGAATGATCAAGGTCCAGAACTAAATATAATGTATTTCTATTTGTATGAGAGAAATTATTCCCTGTGGGAAAACATGTGCTTGCATGCATGTGTGTGTGTGTGAGTGTGTGTGTACGTGCACATAGGTATGTGCACACACGTGTGCATGCTCACATAATTATGCTTATGTGGAGAACCTGTTTGTAGCATTAAAGGCCACTTTGTAGTGGCTTTCTCTGGATCAAAAAAAAAATAAAAGATTGGGATTGAATGAGAGCCTTGTTTCTAAGTGCTTTTTATTTCTTGAAATTTTAAGTCATATGTGGATGTAGTTTTAAAACGTTAGTTTTTTTTAATGATAGTTCTGTATCAAAATAGATTTAGGAAATTTTAAGAAATGAATTTTCCTGTCCTATTGTAATCCTGTAAACAACACCCCATCCCCCCAGTAGATCCGTGCAGTGTGAGGTCTAGTTGGGACACCTTAGGCCTTGGGCTCCAAGGATGCCAACAGGAGCTAGGCGGAATTGCTGTGATTAATGAAGGCTTTTCAAGATGGTTACAAATTATCCCAGTAGCTGTGAAGGCCATGGTACTGAGCTGGCCTCATGCCAGTTGCTAAAAATGGGACGTCTAAATTATAGAATATAGCAATCATTCAAAGTATTTACTTTTTAATCATTAATCTACTAGAAATTCAACATTTCATTATTTAAGGTGGTAATGTTGCAAGATTTATTTATATAATTTTAATTTAAAATGTTTATTTTTTGTATATGTGGGTGTTTTGCTTATATGTGTATATGTGCACCATGTGCATGCAGTGCCCAAGGATGCCAGAAGAGGGTGTCGCATTCCCTGGAATTGGAGTAACAGAAGGTTGTGAGCCACATATAGATGCTGGGCATCTAACCAGACTCCTCTGGAAGAACAACCAGTGCCCTTTGCAGCTACCCCATCTCTACAGCTCCCTGTTTATAACCTTTAAGTTTTTTATTTAAAACAGGTTTCACAATTTATATTAATCATGTTATACTAGAATTAATAGACTGTAGGTCTTCACTGTGTATCGATCCTCAGAGGATATTAAAACTCAAACCAAATGTTTTTGGTACAGCGTCACTAGGTAGCCCACGCTGAGCTTGAACTCATGATCCTTCTGCCTCCACATCTCAAGAATTAAAAGGGTGTGCCACCATGACACACCTGATTTTATTTTTAAACTACATCCGTCATGTTTCTAGGCGTGTGTCACTACTTAGATGAGAAAGGAATTGAGACTTCCCTCGGCTTCCCCTGAATCACTGCGCTGTTAATAATCATCCCCTGCATGATGAAAATGGTCAGAGGAGAAATGAAACAAAGCGAGAGAAGAGGGATTAGTCTGGTATTCTGTATATAGTTTTCCTAGTTTAGAATCCCCTACCACATTTTGAGCATCCTCTTAGAGAGGGCAGTCTGGGCTGAACTAACCGGGTGCTTCGACTGTTGCAGGCCAGAGAGCGTCATGTTGTCCTTTGAAGACGCTGACACAGAAGAGACCGTAACTTGTCTCCAGATGACTGTTTATCATCCCAGCCAGCAGCAAAGTGAAATATTTAAATCAATCAGGTTTTGCAACAAAGAGAAATTTCCTTCTATTGAAGTGGTGAGATTTGGACGGAATTCCAACGTCTGTCGCTATATTTTTCAGGACAAACAGGTTTCCCGAGTTCAGTTTGCTTTACAGCCGTTTAAACAGTTCAACAGCTCTGTTCTCTCATTTGAAATCAAGAACATGAGTAAGAAGACCAGCTTGATGGTGGACAATCAGGAGCTTGGCTACCTCAATAAAATGGACTTGCCCTATAAGTGCATGCTTAGGTTTGGAGAGTATCAGCTCCTGTTGGAGAAGGAAGACGGGGAGTCAGTGGAATCCTTTGAGACGCAGTTTATCTTGTCTCCGAGACCACTCTTACAAGAAAACAACTGGCCAACACAGAGCCCTATACCCGAGGACGGGGGCTATTCATCCTATTTCACCCATAGGACTTCTCCTACAGAGATGGATGAGAATGAATTGTGAACAGAGTCCAAGCGGAAAATTGTGAAGGATGAGGACACATGGGTAGACCCTTGAAAGACATTCTGCCTCTTAAGAGTTTGGAGCGTAGTGTAGCACAGATATCTGCATGCTGACTTTGGGGTTAGTGATAGCATTTGGAGGTCTGTGGACTGTGCTTGTCATCAACTTAGTCAGCTCTTTGCATTCTGGACCTACAGAGAATTAAGTATACACCTGTAAGGGTGAGTGTATAAGACGTATCTTCTGTGTAATGTTATTCTTGTTCCTTTTTTTGCTTGATGACACGCCCATGCTTTGTTTTGGTAACAGCCATCTCTTGGCTTGGTCACATCATTTCATAGCAGCCTTTGGTTTCCAGGGTCAGAGCTCAGGCGGCTTGCTCCCTGGTGCCTGTGGCATGTTCCTACTTGTAGAGCCGGAATCCTGGAATGAGTTCTCGAGTCCCAGCTGAGTCACTGTAGGTTCATTACGGAAAGTTTTGAGAAAAGCGCCTTGATTTTCTCTCTGTGGAATTATAATGTCTACTCCTAAGATGTCAGTGTTGCTTTTCTGTACGTCGGACCTACAATTAACATTTAAAGAACATTGAGGTTAAAATTATTTGCCACACAAGGTGGCAGCCGCCACAGTCTTGGGAGTAAAAGTCCCTCAGAATTGAAGACTGTTGGAAGAGCCGGAAGAAGGCCACGAAGAAGCAGGCACAGCACAGTAAGCTGGGGTCTAGAGGACAAGGAAGACCTGACCCTTACAAGATGGACAGGGATGATACCTGGGCCTCCAATAACAATTTATGAAAACCAAATATACAGCCTTAAAATAGGATGTGGGCCAGAAGCACTTCCCATCTGCACGATTTGTAATGAAAGTCATTATGAGTGGCGTGAGTAGTTCAAATGGCGTGGTGGATCCACGGGTCACATCGGTGCTGGCAAAGTGGCAGAATTCTCACAGCCTCAAAGTCACCCTAGAGGAGCTTCGGCGCTGGATGATGTCAAAAGAGAACATGACATTGACACAGCCGCCAGAAGGACAGTGTTACAACAATTAGCCACCAAGGCCCCGGCCACCTCTCCCCAATCCAACCTGAGTCTTTATTTTCCACAGGGATGAATTTTCTAGATTCATTCTGTAGACCTCAAAGTCCTGGAGAGGAAATTCCACTGAGATTTCGTCCATCCTTAGACACTGTTCTGATACTAATTTGTTGTCCGTTTGAAATACCTGAGTTGTGCTGTGTAATATCTTCTGTGGAGTGTAACCACTGGCTGCCTAGTTGAACTTCTGGGATCAAGGTGTGTTGAAATCAGTTTCCTTTGGCAGCAGTGGGCACAGCTAACACAACTGTGAATAGACACGTCATACAATCGCCTACTGCTGACATCTGGCCTAGGTCTGACTTTGCCCACCCCACCCTCCTGCCACAACTGTGTGGTGGCCCTTAGAATAGATGGCAAGGCTTCAGGTAGCAACTGTGAGACTACTGCTGTGTTAAAACCTTGCTTTTTATTTAGACAGAAAAGGGAAGATGATGTGGGATTCTCCTCTGTATGAGTATGTTTTATTACCATTAGTTAATAAAAAAGCTACTTTGGCCTATGGCAGGGTAGAATATAAGTAGGCGGGAAAACTAAACTGAATGCAGGGAGAAAAAGGCAGAGTCAGAGATGCCATATAGTTGCTGAAGGAGAAAGATGCCTTACCGGTAAACCGTGAGCCTCATGGTAAAATATTAAATAATAGAAATAGGTTAAGATGTAAGAGCTAGCTAGAAATATGCCTGAGCCATTGGCCAAACAGTGTTGTAATTAATATAGTTTCTGTGTGATTATTCAGGTCTGGGTGATGGGAAAATGAACGTGCAGTCTCCATTTACACTATGGAGCTTGGGGGTGCTCTGACTGCACCCCTGCTTTCTTAAGCCATGTCCAAGCCATTGCCTCCCCTATTCCTCCACTGCCATCCTTGGCCAAAGTTTAGGTTGTAACTCTCCCCTCCCTCTAAAATTGGCCATGGGTGAGGAATTCAGGGCTTCTGTCTCCCCACCTTTACCAAGCGGTGCTACTTTCCCCCTCCTCCTCAACTCACTTGTTCCCCATCACCACCCAACACTTGCTGTGGCCAGACGCTATCAGATGAGGTTGGAAGAGCCTGGCCCCCCTCACTTAGCTCTGGACCACGTGTTCACTTGCCACCACCCTGGGAAGGGAGTGCTGGGTTCTCGGTCCTGCAGCCACCATCAGCCGATGAACTTTGAGCTCAGGGCTCAAGGTGAACAGAATAGTCACGGGGCGACAAACCTGCCAGCGCCCAGGGTCCTTGGTGGTTCCACCTAGAGAAAGGCTATTGCAGAGAGTCCTAAGTGCATAGGGTTCTGAGTTGGTTCCTTTTTTCATAATCACTAGCTCGTTGTCATTTCCCTACTCTGTTCAGAACCACTAAATGTTGAAATGTGGGTGCATACCAAAATAAAGGCAATTCATTGTGTTGGAAAACAAAGTTTTCTTACAAAATTGAAAATGACAGGGTGGTGATGGTGCATGCCTTTGATTCCACTTGGGAGGCAGAGGCAGGCAGAACTCCGTGAGTAAGAGACCAGCCTGGTCTACAAAATGAGTTTCAGGATAGTCAGGGACACACAGAGAAATACTGTCTCCAAAACAAAACAAAACAATAACAACAACCCCCCCAAACCAAAATTGAAAATGAATTTTATGTATCATACATAATTTTTCAATTGTACAGATCAAAACTTTTAACAGCCTCTTTGCATAGGATAAGTCAGAGTTCAGTCCCCTAGCCTTTTCTCTGAAACTTTCTAAAGGAAAACATTCATACTTAGACCACTATGTAGAAGTTATGTATATGTGAATATTTATAATAAATGCTTACATATAGCTAAACTTCTACAACTTTTAGAAGTTATATTTCTTTAAGAGATTCTCACTCAACTCATTTTGACCTGATTAAGATGAATGTTAGTGAATGTTATGTTAAAGAGAACAACAGCCACCAAGTTAAGATAAATTCTAACGTTACCAGGAAGTAAGGCTCCCTGTGTAACCTTGGTATATGAAATTTTGTGCTATAACAGATGAGGTGGGGGGAACTAATCATATACTTTGGGGGAGGGAGTTCGAGACAGGGTTTCTCTGTAGCTTTGAAAACTCTCCTGGAACTAGCTCTTGCAGACCAGGATGGCCTTGAACTCACAGAGATCCACCTGCTTCTGCCTCCCGACTGCTGGGATTAAAGGCCTGCACCACCACTGCCCAGCCCATGTACATATTTTTGTTTCTTTGTTTTTGAGGCAATGTCCTGCTTTGAAGCTCAGACTGACCTTGAACTCATGATCCTCCTGCATCAGTCACCTGAATGTAGTGCTTACAGGTGTGCACTCCTGTGCTTAGCTTAATGTAACTATATCTCTACAACCGCCCTTCAAAATGATTTCTAATAAACTTTTCAGCCTGATGTCATGCACACTATGCCTCTTGATGTAGATCACCAGAAACTCCTAGACTATGGAACAGGACCTCAGGTGCTATCCCAGTCCAGGACCTGTTGCTACGGGCACTGCTTTCTGTCTCTGTGCTACGTGCCAGGCTAACTGTTTCATTTCTTGTCTAGCTTTGCTGCTGGCACCTGTGGTAAGCAAAGCATGGCAGACAGGTGACTGTGTGCTAACTGCCAGAACCTGCGAGTGTGTCATGACATAGCAAAGACAAATGAATGATGTGGGTAGAATTAAGGTTGCTCACTAGCTGACCTTAAATTACAAGAGATCATCCGGGATTATCCCAGACCCAGTTAATAACAGGGTCCTTCAAAGCAGGAGGGTAAGAAAAAAGATATCAGAATGATCAAGTGTGACAAGGACTTGACCTGTTGTGAAAGGTTTTGCACTTGGAGGAAGGAGGCCAACTTCAAGGAAGGCAGCAACATCTTGAAGCCAGAGAATGTGCATAGAGATCTACATGCTGGAAAGGACAGAGAAACCTCAGCAAGATGTTGGCACACAAAAGAGTTCCACAATAGCCCAGAATGACAAAGGTTTATTTATTTGTGGATAAACTCACAGAAATGGTAGCGATCCTTGACCCTCTGTGCGTGCTGGTAACTGGAACCGAACTTACAGATGGTGTCAACGTGGGCTGACTACATCCACATAAAATGTGAGAGAACTTGGGAAGAAATTCTAGACACAAAAGAACAGACTTTAGCACAGTAGCAGCATTTTCTCAGGTGGGCTCTGTTTGCTAGAGTCAGGCAGAGGCATGATTCCTTAAAGAGAAGACTTCCTGACTCAACATTAGTAGCAAAAACTGAGTGGCTTCTTTAAGAGCTGTCTTCCTGGTTCGTGCTGGTAGCATGAGATTCTGGCTCTTTGGGGAGATCCTGCACTTTAAAGGTGTCTGTGAGCAGTGTGTTACAAATTGCTTAACAGCGACATAGACCCACTCACTGCATCTCTGGAGCTGAGGTGGTGTGCATTGCTCACAGAGCTGGTGAACATGCCTCTGCCATGTTGGACTGGGTGGAACAAACAGGAAGGGTTGCAGAGTTGGTCCTAGTCACATATGCTTAGCATTAAAAAAAAAGTGCTCCTGGTCAGAAAATGATTACAGATATGCAATAAAGACAGATTCAATGGAAAAAGACCTCTAAATGTGTCATAATGTACACGGGCATAGTACATGGGCTTATTGAGAGAGAAGTAAGAATACAGAAAGTCATACATTAAAGGAGTAAAGATAATTAAATATTAAAAAGTAATAGAGTAAAAAAAAGCCATGTAAAGATGGAAAATACAGAGAGTCTGGATTATGTATACTATTGTGTTTTCTTTGAAGTTTTTGACTGTGAATGAGCTAAATGCAGAGAGACATTTCATTGTATAGGCTGCTGAACTAAACCAACATATATATTTTAAAGGTATATTGACTTCAAAATTTGAGTCTAAGGATATGTTACTTTGGAAAAGAGGTTCTGCTTTTGTTCCCACAGAGGACAAGAACCTGTAAATTTCTTCTAGGCTAATGTGATTTGATGAAACAGAACTCCCAAAAGGTCTCTGTGAATCTTAAAAATACTTTGTCCAATAAACAGCGGAAAGCAGTTTGGAGAAAACTACACCAAAATTCCCAAAACGATTGTTTATAAACGTTTGTTTTCATTTTGGGGGGATTGATTGTAAGTGATTAATGGTCGCAGTCAATTTAAAAAGATAAATAAATAAGAAGGATATGATAAAAAGAT